TATAAATATGTACAAGAACGCATCAGAAACGGAATGTTGGAGGTGAAATACGTACAGAATGAAGAAATGAAGGCCGATTTGATGACAAAGGCTTTGTCGGCGACTAAACTTGGAGCACTCCGCGCGCTTTGTGGTCTCGTGGACGATGTAGAGCACACCGAGGGAGGAATGTTGGAAACAAGTTAAGTCGTACCTAAGTAAATTAGGAGGAGTTATGAAACTCCCAACGATTTGCATAATAAGCTAGCTATAAGCAGAATACATTCACTTGGAAACTTATCTTCAAACCACCAGGTCCTTCCTTCCTATCTGACATTTGCAACATTTTGCGCAGGGGTAGCGTATCAAGCCACCTATCTAGTTCAACAAGAGCAACACGTTTTTCTAAGGAATGTTGTTTGCTGGTGAAGGAATCATTGCTTAAGTTGTAACGAGGTTACACGAACCTGATAACAGGGGTGTGTGTCACACGAGATGTGCATGGTGTGACCACACCCAAACGAGAATACGTTACGGGGCTTTATTATATATATGCTTTTATTATATATATTTATTATATTTAGGAAAATCTAAACTTTCAAATAAGGATAAATAAATAAATAAAAATTAGTTTGAATTTAAAACCGAAGAGTCAATTAGCCTTGGGAAGGCAATAATTACTCTTGGAGTAAACGGATTGCGATCCGCTAACTCATACTTGGTTTTTGTAACGAACGAAAGGTCGGTGACCTAAAGTACGCTTCTTCAAGCTAAGCTACGGCGGCTCCGCTGCACTTGGTAGCACTTGTAGTCAATTTCCACCTGAGTCATTTAGACTGATCGTCTGTGAGGATGAAGGAATTTTCCTCTTGGCTCCAGGGCATGCAGGACCGACTTAATAAGATGATGTCCTTGCTTTGCCCTGAGGGCGTGCAACACCTTGTAGCACGAGGCGCCCAGGCAACCGGTGCGCGTCTAGAGGCGTTTTCAAGTTACGAAAACGCGCTACTAGAGTACCTGCAGCAAAAGATGTCTGCACCGTTTGCGTCCATGACGGCACCGTCAATGACGGATGACTTCCCCCGACCTAAGCTGCTCATGGTGAGCGTTAAGATCTTTAAGGGGAAGGATAGAGAGAATCTCCTGCTCTGGGTGAGAGAGGTCGAGATGGCCATCGTATCCGCCATGCTCCAAACCGAGCAACAGCGCGTGGCGCTGGCCATCTCCAAGCTCGGTGGTCGAGCGCGATAATGGGCACTCACGTGCGGCACTTCGGTCGGAGCTGCGTTTCCCTCCTGGGCGAAGCTGAAAATC